CCGCGAGGGATCGGCGCCGGGACCAGGACGGAACCGGCCCCCGAGCCGCCACACACGGCGGGACGGGACGGGGGGAGCCGCCGGAGGCACCGGCACCAGCTGGGAGGAGCTGCGGGAGGGAAGGGGGTGCAGGTGGGGAGGGGGGTGCCCAGGCCAGGGGGTCCGTGCCCCACAGCCCGGTGGCGGAGGGCACGCCAGGCTCACACTGCCATGTGCCTCCATCGCTGATGCCGCTCCACGCTGTGACACACAGGGCACGGAGCAGCCGGGCAGGAAGAGTGCAAGGCCCCCCCCCAGCACCAGCCAAAGGGCCAGGGCTGCTCGGAAGAGGCAGGTGACCCCCACATCGCCACCACTGCACTGTGGCACATGCCACACTGGGGCAAAGGTGTCATGCAAAGGGACCCCATGCATGTGACCAGGCTGTTCTCAAAGCCCCTTGTTCCTGCTCATGTTTCCTTTTGATTTAGACACAGAGTTCTGCCAGCAACAAATGCATTTGGCTGCTCGGAGCAAGGATGACGCACACAGGAATTTCCAAGGGGGAAAGTATGATCGTTGAGCTGTAAAAGCCTGGGTGAGGTCACAGAGGTCACATTGGCTTCAGCACAGATTCCTGCATCCTGGCAGGCTGGCCTTGTCACAACTTCCCAGACAGGGCGTGTCCCTGGTGTCCCCCCACACACTGGGACCCCAGCTGGGGCCATTCTCCTGCTCCAGCACAGGACAAGTCTCTTCCACCAGCCCCTCAAAGGGCCTGGTTCTGTCCCTCTCCACCCAGTGCAGCCCTGGCTGTCCCCTGCGCTTTGCTGCAGCCCTGCCAGACCCCTGCCCTGTCCCCCAGGTCAGATTGCCTCTGCCCAACTTGCTTACAGCACCTTCAGGTGCCCTTTGCCATTCATTGAGGCACAGAGATCGGTGCCTGCATGGCCACAGCTCAACAATGAGAGAAGCCACCGAACAGCCCCCTGGCAGGGCTGCAGTCCCTTGAGCATGCCCCTGTCTGCATGGAACGGGATGCAGGAAGCAGAGGTCCTGCTCAGCAGGGCTCAGACACAGCAGTGGCAGCACAGCAGGGTCCCAAGAGCCGGGAGCACACCTCACCTTTGGCATGGTCACCCTTCACATGCTCAGCTGGGCTCCCTGTGACCCCCCACACCTTTGACCTTGGGCATCCCAGGGTCACCTCTCACCAGTGTGGGAGCATGGGGAGGTGAGAGGCAGTGCTGACCCCGCCACAGCACCCATCTGCTGGGACATGTCTGCAGCCAGTGACATGTCGGCACTGAGCCACCAGCCTGTCCCCACGGAGGAATGGTGCTCAGCAACGGGTGCACCCAGCCTTGTGTCTCATGGAGGCTTCCCACGCTCTGCTCCCCCTGAGGCCATGCTTGCCCGCAGGGACCCAGCCCGTTGTCCCCTGAGGCTCCACCAGCGGACGTGGCATGATGCAGGCACCAGGCCAGGACTGGGACAGGCAGGTGCTGGGTCTATGGGATGGGCACAGCCCAGCAGCCCACAGCCCTGTGTCACCCCAGTAAAACACTGCCAGGACAGCAGCCCCCAGGGGAACATCTTCCTCAGCAGCCCCCTCTGGGTTCCTATCCCACAAATTCATCTAATCATTTGTCACAGCTGGGTAGTTCTGGGCTCCCCATGGCTGTAGGGTGACCCCAGCCCATGGCCTCATCTCCCTTTCCCCATGAGAGTGCTGAGGGTCCTTTCCCCTGCTGCAGCCAGGTTGCCAGGGCTGGACAAGGCCAGGTAAATAATTTCTCAGGCCGTCATTGCCTCGGGCACAACTGTGACACGCAGCAGCAGTGAGTGTTTTGGCACACGAAGGTTATGTGCATGGCCCCTCCCCAGCTCCACACAGATATAAACCCTGTCAACCTGCGCTCCTCATCCATACCTTTGGCATTCACCAACATGAAGACCACCATTGTTCTGCTCCTGGGCATCCTGGCCCTGTGTGCCCAGCTGCATGCAGCCCCTACGTCTGATGAGGAGAAAGGTGAGTGCTGGGGGGCTTGGGGTGGGTGCCTTGTGTTAGCCCCTGGAGCACTGCTGGGCTGATTGGGGCAGGGGTCCCACATGGAAAGAGCAGGTAGGAGCCATTCCAGAGCACAGAGCCAGGCATATGCCAGGCTCCAGAGCATCCATGCACCACTGAAGCTGTGGCCGTGCCAGCAGGGCCACCGAGCTCTGCGCCACAGGGACAGCATGGGCAAGGGGGGCTCGGCTGTGGCAGGATGGGGCAGTGTGGCAGGAGCCCTCAGCAGGTGCACAGCTGGACCTGAGGGGCCATGCACCAGTCCATGTCCATGGTGAGAGGACCCTGTGCTGCTGACTGAGGGACACTGGTGTCTCCAGAGATGGGGTGTCCCTCTGTATCCCTGTCCTTGCTATCCCTGCTCTGTGCCAGCAGCGGGAGGCTGGCTCACTGCTCAGGGGCACCTCAGTGTGCTCCTTTTAATCATTGACCACTCAGCAGTCAGGTGATGTGACTCCAGCACTTCCCTGCTGCCATGGAGGAGCCACGGTCACCCACAAGGCTTGGGTGCAGCCACTGTGACCAGGCTCAGTGCTGGTGGGCACAGCTCCCGAGGGATGCAGCAGAACCAAGCCTTTGGGGCCTGGTTTGGGGCTGCTGATCCCAGGTGCTCAGCCAGGATCCTCCCTGGCCACGGGGACAGCTGGCAGACCCCTGTGCTCCCCACAGCCATCCTCAGCCTCTGCTAAAGAAGCACCTGGCAGAGGCAGGGTGGGGACACCAATATCCTGGATGCCATACACTGGGGACAGGAGCCAAAGCATTCCTGTCTCCCAGAAGGCGATGCCAACTGCGTGGGCTGGAGCTGCTGGCCCTGCTGCCAGCTTGCTTGGTCCCTCTCCAGGTGCTCCAGCTGGCTGGGGGCAGCTTCAGCTGGATTGTCCCGTCAGCAACCAGCTGGGCACCTTGGAGCTAGGGCACAAGTGCGGGCAAAACCACTGGTGCCCACACTGCTCCCACCAGCTCTTGGTTTCCCCTGTGGTTTTCCCCTCATCTCCTTCCATGAGCCTTCCATTTCTGGGCTCCCATCTGCTGTCATCCAGCTGCTCTTGTTGCTGGCATCCTCCCTCAGAGCCTCCCAGTGCTGGCTGCTCACTGCCAGCACCAAGGTCACCCCATTCTGGGGTCACCTCAGCTTGGGCAGAGTTGTCACAGGGTCAGACCAGGGCAATGATGCTTAAAGAGAGCACCAGCACAGGGCCACAGCAAGTCACAGTAGGACACCAGTGACCCTAGGTGGGTGTGGGACTGGCAGCAGTGCTGCTGCTCTAGAGAAGCTGCTGCTGGGTCCAGGTGGGCTCTGTCCCTGTGCAGCACAGGTGGAGATGGTGCAGGTCCCTCCTCTCCATCCTGGTGGGCAGTGTGCTCACCTCCAAGCTGTTACCACCCCCATCCCCCCCTGGCCGACACAGCACTGTGCTCTGGCCCTGCTGCAGGGGCCACTGGGCTGCAAGATGGTTGCTTTCATTCCTGGCATCCCGATGCTGGCCCTGGGTCTGCTGTGGGAGCATCCCAGCCAGCCTGAGCGTGGCCAGGTCCCTGCAGCTCCCCATCCGGGAGGGCACAGGGAAAACGGCTGCCTTGATGATCTCCCTGCTACCCCGGGCCTCTGCCCATGTGTCACTCCCACTGCCGTCAGCGGTGACATGAGGTGCGGCAGTGGGGCAGGCGGCTGAGCGCCGGCTTCTGTTCCTGCATAAACAGCCGGCAGGGAGGGGACCACAGGCAAAGGCAAACAGTTACTGATTTACTGCCACGCCGCTGTGCCACATTGTTGACTGTGGGGTTAAATTACCTGGAGACAGACCCCGGCAGAGCAGACGCCAACTCGTGACTCAGGCAGGGATCATGTCCTGGCCCCATGCACCCTTGGCCCATGCAAGTTTACAAGACACCTGGAGCTGGGGCTGCCTCCACCAGCAGCAAGAGCACATCACCAGGAACAGGGAAGGTTTCATCCTCCTGCAGGAGGATGGGTGCTGGCAGAGTGGCAAATGCTGATGTGAGCAGGGTAGCCATACCAGGTGGGCGAGCTGGGCCCATTCAAACCATCCCCAGCTTGATATTGCCAGGGGCAGTTAAGTGTCCTGAGCCACATGAGCCACGGTCGTACAGCCCCAGCACCACCATGCCCTGGAGCACTGGGAGTGCATGTCAGTGACATTCCCTGACAGCCCCTTGCACAAATGGTGGTCGGATGGTCCATCTGCATCCCCAGTGCTGTGGGAGGCTGTGAGGATGGCAGGGTCCATGGGACAGGGCTGGAGCTGGGCAGGAGCTCCTGTAGCTGTGGGAACAGCCATGTGCAGGGCAGCCCCAGGGCAGGCACCTGCCCAAGGTACAGGGAGCCTGGAGCACCCTTCACTTGAGGAGCAAGAGCTGGAGGAGAACAGTGACTGGAACAGGCGCAGGAGCTGGGTGAGCAGCAGCAGAGCTGAGCCATAACTCTGTGTGCACTGCTGGCTCCTCCCGGCCTCGGGCCATCAGCGACCCAGGCCAGGGGCTCCATTCAAGCTCACGCCCGTGGCCGGGGCGGTGCAGGGTGAGCTGAGCAGGGACGGGTCATGCCCCGCTCCTGGCGAGCGGTACCACTTCATCCCCGGGGCCGATCCCTGAGGGCAGGGCCATGGCGACCCAGCGGCCCGGCGGGCTCGGCGCGGGGCTGCCTGCCTGGGGTCCGGCGTGCGGGGGCCGTGGCCAGGGGTGCTTGGCTGCTGTTCCTGCCGGGCGAGTTCTCAGCATGGCCGCCCAGTCTCCTCGAGGCTCCCCCTCCCTGGTCGGCAGCCAGCAGCAGCAGATACCTGATACTCGGGTTGTGCAAGCGCGAAGGGGGAGCCTGGCCCTGCCCGGCCCTTGGGAGCCACCCGGAAGGCCGAGCCCGCCGGCCCCACCTGTGGAGGAGCTTAAAGGCCGGCCGGGCGGCCACAGCGCAGCCGGTTCCTGCACCATGCCCGCGGCCCGCAGCGTCCTCATCTTGGCGGGGCTCCTGGCTCTGTGGGCAGAGCTGTCGGCAGCATCCGCCCAGAATGACACCAGTGAGTATGAGCGCATGGCCCAGCACGGCTCGTCACGGCACGCCCGGCGAGCGGCCAGCATCCATCCCTCCCTCGCAGCCCCAGGGCAGCCGGCGTGGGGGCCGCGGCGAGCACCGGCCCGTGCCCGGCGCGGTTGGGCTCGGCAGCATCCCTGGACCCAGCCCTGGGGCCGGGGCAGCATCTCCCGGAAAGGGACGCAGCCCTCGCCCTGCTCGGCGCCGGCCGCCCCCGCCTGCCCACGGCCCCACCTTTGCCTTGCAGCCAAAGCCGGCGTGTGCCCCAGCCCGGCGACGGATGCGGTGAACTGCACGGTGGGGTGCCAGTCCGATGGCGACTGCGAGAGCACCCTCAAGTGCTGCCCGGCAGCCTGCGGCAAGGCCTGCCAGAAGCCTGACGGTAACACTGCCTCCTGCTCCTGGCCGTGCTGCCCAGGGTCGCTGCCGCTGCCACGAGCCAGCAGCCCGTCCCAGCCAGCAGCACGGGTGCTCCAGGGCGCAGCGGTGGCCACAGGCCTGGGTGCCCGATGTGTGTTCAGCTGCAGGATTGGGGGCTGCATGGAAGCCCAGCAGACTCGGGGTGTGCTCCTGCTGGGCCACGCTCACACCTTCCTCCTCTCAGCGATGCAGGGGCTGAGTGGACAACCCTAAATGATGCTGGGGCTTGGGTGGAGGGTGGGGTCTGAGCCATTCCCCATTGCAGCCCTTGTTGCCTGCTCAGCCTTGTGGGCAGCTGCCAGCCCAGGATGTGGGGGCACCGTTCTTTGCTCACCACAACAGTCCTGGACAGCGACCCAAGGAGATGGGTGCAGGAGCTGGAATCCACAGGTGCAGACAGATGGATGTGACCTGGAGGCTCCAGTGCCTCCATGGCTGCCTGCAGGACAGTGCTGGCTTGGCTGCACCACAGTGAAGGGCAGCAGCATGGTGCAGAGCCAGAGCTCAGTGCCAGTGGCAGGCAGTGGGATAGTGGGGCAGGGGCCCCACACTGCTTGGGCAAAGGCTGTTTGGGGGGCCCGTGATCCTGGCTGAGGCCTAGGCTGCGCCCCCATGCTATGAACAAACAGCCTGGGCCATCCATGGCAGTTGTAGAGGACAGCAGGGCCAAGGCCTCCATCATGTCTGCATGCTGCAGCTGTGCATCCTGTGCCAGCCCTGTGTCCCTGAGAGGGAACACTGGGCACAGGGACCGTTGGGGACCACTATGCTGTGTGGCCTCCCTGACCTGTCCCCATCAGGTCCAGCTGGCGAGGAGTGCCAACAAGCGGATCTGTGGGATGGGGGAAATGCTGGCTACCGTGGTGGTCCCTCCTCCATGGCAGATAGGGGCCAGCACCATGCCCACAGCTTTGGGAGCTGCAGGGTAGGTCCTGCCCCTCATGCCAGGGCCAGCAGGTCTCAGCCATGTTCTTTTGCCTTTCAGAGAAGCCTGGCACCTGCCCACCCGTCAACCCGGGCATCCCCATGCTGGGCATCTGCTCCAACCAGTGCAAGACCGATGCCAACTGCTCCGGGATCCAGAAGTGTTGCAGGAATGGCTGTGGCAAGGTCTCCTGTGTGACACCCATCCAGTGAGGTCAGTTGGGTGCATTCCAGCCCCAGGGATCCCACAGCACCTCAGCACGGTGCCTACGCACCCATCCTGCTCACAGCCTCTGCTCCTTTGCAGGTGCAGCCGCCTCCTGCCAGCCCAGCCACAGGGAAGCTGCTGCCTGATGCCCATCCTTCATGCCCTGGCCGTGGCCCTGCACCAGCCCCCGGCTTGGAGCCTTCAGCCTCAATTTTCTCCCTGGGGTTCTCTGCTCAGGGCAAGACCCCTGCACTCTCACCAATAAAGCAGCTTCTCCCTTACACGCTGTGGTTGCCTCTCCATCCCACACTGTGGCCACCTCTTTGTTCCATGCTGTGGCCACCTCTCCATCCCACACCATGGCCACCGCTTTGTTCCATGCTATGGCCACCTCTCCATCACAAGCCATGACTGCCTCTCCATCCTATGCCAGGGATGCCTGGAAGGGCTTCTCACAAGAAGCAGCATTGATTGACTCTGTCATGCCTCCAAGGGTCCCGTGCCCTGCCTGGGGCTGTCCCATGGGTCCATGGCTCCAGCTGCCCCTGCACACTGGCTCCTCCACCTTGGGTCCTCCACCATGCTCAGAGCACTGTCAAGGTGCACTCTGTCTGTGTCCCATCAGAGCAGAGCTGCTCTTTGCTCCCTGCAATGGCCAGGGGACAAACAGGCTGCAGTGTGTGCTCATACAGGAGCATCACCCAGACTCCTCCTTATCTCTGCCCTCCCAGCCTGGCCATGGCACCTTGCCCACAGCAGAAGCCTGAAGGAGCTTTTGGCAGTGCAACCCACATGCCACAGTCCCATGCCTGCCCCTGCCACATCCCTCCCCACATGCTTGAATCTGGGGGGGCTCCTGTTCCTGTCCTGCTTTCCCCTGGCATTTCCTGCTCTCCACAGGTCTCCAGGGGCCCTGTTTCTTTCATACCTGCCTGCTCCTGCTCTCAGCCCCTGGGATCAGAGCATGTCCCTCCTGCCTGGGAGGGGCTGGCACCCCCAAAGCCCCTGCCCTTGGCAGAGCTATCCCCTGGGACTGAGTGAGCCCCACACCTTGCCCAGCACTGCCCAGGGTCTGGTGCTGGTTCCCCTCTCTCTGCAGTGCAGGTGCAGGCTGTGCCAGCACCACAGCTCCACAGCAGCTCTCCCTGCTCCATGTGGGCCAGGAGGGAGCCAATGGACACTGAAGACTGGGACAGGACACTGCTCCTGTGTCCCACCCATGCTCTCAATGGTGTGGCTCTGGGAGTGCTGGTCAGCCCTTGGCACAGCTGCTCACAGGTCACCAGTGACCTGGAAAGGGAGCTGCAGATGTGTCAGCCATGGGCCACGAGCCCAGCACTGCCCCAGGAGTCTCCCCCAAGCTGAATTGTTCATGCCCAGCACTCCCACAGTCCCGGAACTGTGCTGCCATGAGAAGGAGCAGCTTGGCTTGGCCAGCCCCCACTCCAGCAGGGTTTAAATCCCAGCCCATTGCCCAGAAGCACACTGACTGCAGCGCAATGCTGGGCCACCGCACCCTTCTTCTGGTGCTCCTGGCACTGCTCACCCTGGCCCAGCAGCACAGCCCCAGGGACCAGGGCACTGCCCTCACCCTCACTGCGTCCCCACACTGGGTCCTGCAGGAACGCTGGACCCCCACTGCCCGTCCTGCCCCCCCCAAAGTGGGTAAGTGCCCGGCGGGGGCGAGCGGAGCCCCCTGGCCCCCCAGGCTGTACTGCCTCTCCGACCATGGCTGCCCTGGTGCTGAGAAGTGCTGCCAGATCGGGAAGGTCTGGACCTGCCTCCTGCCCACCACAGGTACTGCTGCTCACTCCGAGGGATGGCAGTGTGAGGATCGGGCAATGGGTGGGATGTGGGCTGGTGCCTGTGCCTGGTGCTCCTTGGTGCCCCTGGAGCAAGCCCTGCCCCCTGGGACATGGCTGCATGGAGCATCTCCCTCTGCAGAGAGCCCGGGATACTGCCCCCGTGCTGGCAGTGCCATCGGGCCAAGCTGTGGGACAAGATGTCACAACGACACCACATGCCACTCGGGGGAGAAGTGCTGCACCCGCGGCTGCTGCACCCGCTGCGTGCTGGCTGAGCCAGGTGAGGTGTCCTGGAGATCCCCCCCATGCCAGGCTGAGAATGCCCTGGGGCAGCCCCAGGGGTCTGCAGCCCCCATTGCACTGTAGAGGAGTTGTGGGCAGTGGGGGCAGGCTGGCTGCAGGCCAAACCCTGAGCCTTCCCTCCAGCCAAACCTGGGCTCTGCCCACGGAAGCGTGCCCAGAGCAGAGCTGCTGCCTGCCCCAACCGCTGCACCGATGACCGGGACTGCCCTGGGGAGCACAAGTGCTGCTTCTCTGGCTGTGGGCTGGCCTGCACCCCTCCAGACACAGGTACAGCCCTGCCAGCCCTCTCTGATCCCCACGTCCAGCCCACCACTGCACTGGTGCTAGCCCAGCTCCCCCCTGGCAGAGCCCAGCGTGTGCCCAGCCCTATTGTGGACAAGGTACAGCAGCTGTGCCTGGCCAGGTGTGCAGCTGGTGGCACCCATCCAGGCCCCAGGGAGTGTGTGCCACTGGCTGCAGCTCCCAGTGCCACACGCCTGCCCTGGGCACAGCCCCAGCCCTCAGAGCTGCCCCTCAGGGTGCTGTGGGAAGGGATCCCCATGCCCAGCTCCTCTGTGATGGGTGGGAGATGGCTCTGAGTGTGTGAAAGGCTGAACCCCTTCCTCACCCTCCCTCCTGCACCCCTCTCAGACTGCAGCCAGAGCAAGGGTTGTCTTTCACCACTCCAGTCACCAGCTGGCACCCCATACTGAGCTGTGACTGGTCTCACTGGGTCAGACTGGTACGGGTGTGAGGCTGGTGACTGAGGTCATCATGGTGCTTGGGGAAGGAAGATGAAGGACAGGGACAGGATGGAGACCAAGGCCATGCCAGGAGTGGGACTGGGGACAGAATCACAGCACAGCTGCACTCTTCTCTGTCACCAGGGAGCCACCGTGCCACAGCGAAGCCTGGCGTGTGCCCCACGGTGCTGCGGGGCTCCTTGGGGCCCTGCCTGGAGCTGTGTGACACTGACAGTGACTGCACTGGGGACGACAAGTGCTGCACCACTGGCTGTGGCCACATCTGCAAACCACCCACCAAGGGTAAGCCACCGGCACCCTGTGGGGACGAGACCCCTGTGCCCCCTGCCTACCTGACACCATGACCCTCGGGGGGCAATGGGAAGCTGGGGACTGAGCTGCTGTCCAGTGGGGCAGGGGCTCAGTGAGGAGCTCACCCCTGCAGGCAGGGCAGCTCCCCCACCCTGGAGGGGTGCCCTGAGCCCCTCACCCCTTTCTCTCTCCACATGTGCCAGCATGGCCAGGTCTCTGTCCTCCTGCAGCAGAGGGTGCTCAGGCAGCCGAGTGCCTCCTCCTGTGCCTGCAGGACAGGGACTGTCCCCCTGTCCCCCCTGCTGCCTGCAGGGCTGCAGCCAGGTCTGCATCCACCCACTGTGGGGTACAGTCCCATCCAGCCTGCTGCCTCCTGGCTCCAGCCTGGAGGGGACAGAGGGGGCCAGGGCAGGAGCACCACAGGGCGTCCCATCCCTCAGAGAAGGAGCACTGAGGCATCCTCACTGACCACCTAATTTCCCTCTTCCAGGTACAGCGTAGCCATGGCCAGGAAGGGCTGCACCAGGAGCTGCCATTTCAGGGTCATCCTCCACCCCACTGCCACTGCACCCATGGGCTGAGCAGAGGTGCTGGTGCACGCACACCTCTCCCTGTGCTGGACCCTCTTCCCTGGCAGGATGGCACCAGCAGTGACTCTGATGCTTCTGGTCATGGTCCCTGGCACCCCCAGCTGTGCCATTAAGGGCTGCATGCTGCCTGCACCACCCACGGCCAAGAATCCTAGCAACCCTGCATGAGGCAAAACCCTGCACCCACAATGGCCCCTCTGCCCCACAGCACTGAGACACAATAAACCATCCCACAGGCACTTCTGCTCTGGGTCACCATCCCTGTTCTGTGCTCTGGTTCCCAGAGGTGCTGGCAGCCTGGGCTTCGTGCAGGCAGGGAGGTGCAGGCAGCCATCCCTGCATGCAGGCACTGCTCGAGGGCAGGGAGAGGGTCCCAGTTCCATGCAGGTGATTTCCAGGCATGATCATTCCATGGTAACCATCCTGCTGGGCCTGGGGGCTGCATAATGTCCCCTCAGCAGTCATGGGCTGGAAAACCAGTTCCCTCAGATTCCTTGTGCCAAGGAAAGGCTCATTTGCATCCCAAAGTGTCAAAACCTGGTGGGAAAAGCAGTCACGGGTCAGGCCAGATGGAGCACCCAGACAAGGAGGGGGCAGGGAGCATCACCCGTGTGCCAGGGGCCATGGCAGGACCTGCTTACTCACGGTGCTGGATGCCAAGCAGTCCCTGCATGGAAGCTGCCCTTGGCTGAAGAGCAGCACCATGGCAGCAGAGCTGTTAGAAGCCCTCATGCTGCTCCCACGGCCATGCCAGGACCAAGCCATGGGGTCTATCCACAGCCCCCACTCCAGGGAGCAGAGGGGTGAGTGGGGCTGGAAAGAAACCCAGAGAGGGAGTGACAGCCAGCTCCAGCAAGGATGGGGTGGTGCAACATGAGGGGCAGAAGTGCCTGACCCCATCTGGCCTTCCCAGCCCCCCAGGTCACCATGACCCCAAAGCAGGGCTTGGGCAGAGATAAGCGGGGTGGCTGGCAGGGCGCCGGTGGGTTCTGGGAACTGCCCCTCCTCCTGCCCCTCCTGCCCATAGCACAGCAGCCTGCCACAGCAGGCAGCTCAACTTCAGCTGCCCTGCCACTTCAGGCACCCTGACACAGACTTTAAACCAAGCCCCAGCTCAGCTCCAGACATGCACAGCATCCCCAGCCGCAGCATGAGCCCAGGAGTTTTCCTCCTCTTGGGCCTCCTCATCCTCAGGGCAGAGCCGAGTGTAACACCAGAGAAGGGTGGTGAGTACCAGGAGTCAAACCCAGCAGCTGCCAGGCACAGGCAACCTGGGAGCAGCTCCTTGCATCCCAGCCCCCGTGTCCCTGCCGTGTCCCCTCTGGGACCACGTCCCAGCTGGCTGCAGCCCCTGCACTGGAGCCCTGCTGCCTGGGGGACCCAGCCCCCACCCCAGGGTGCAGGTGTGCATGCCCTCAGCCCCATGGGCACCCCCTGCACCCCACGGGCACAGCAACCATCAGCTCCCAGCGGTGCCACGTGCAGCAGGGTCTCTGCTGCATCCCGGGCACAGACCCTTGCTGCCACCCCCCCGCCGTGGGACAGTGCCCGGGGCGGTGGTGCCAGCTGTGGTGTGGCTCTGCCCACGACCGAGGCACGGCCGGTGCCTCTTTGTTTGAAGCGAGCAGCTGCTGTTTGCAGTGAAACTCCAGCAGCGTCTGTTTGCAGCCCAAATACCCGGACAGGCTGATGGCAGAGGCGGCTCCGCCACAGCCCCGGCTGGCAGCGGGAGCCGGGCACGGGCGCCAGCTGGAGCTCGCCTGTACCAGAGGCAGGGCTGCCCCACGTTTCCCAACATGGCCAAGAGGAGCACAGGGTGCCAAGAGGAGGAGGAGGAGAAGGAAGAGGAGGAGACGGCAACAGTGAGGAGCGTGCTGCTTGCAGTGGGGATGTCCGCGGCAGCAGGATGCTCAGGAATAGATCCTGACCTCCAGCTGGTGCTGGCTTCACCCTGACAGGGCCAGTGACCCTCCTTGTGGCACTTGTGAGGGCACACACGGGCCGTGCCACCCCGCACCATGACATGCCATGCTACACCGTGCCACACTGTGCTGTGCCATGCAGGTCTCGGTGTGAGGGTCCAGCAGCCCCGGGCCATGATGCAGAGAAGCTCCAGCCCCTGGGCTGCAGTCCCTCCCTGCAGAGAGATCCACATCCTGCTTCCCCAGGGATGGAGGATGAGGGGCTCTGGCACTGTCCTGACATTGCCATCCCAACGCAGGGGACTCCCAGAAACCGGGGCGGTGTCCACGGGACTTCATGCGCTGCTTGCGCCTGGAGTCCCCGCTCTGTGCCAATGACTCCAGCTGCCCCGCTGGGCTCAAGTGCTGCCTCTGGGAGTGCCGGCTCCGCTGCGTCCCCCCGGCAGAAGGTACGGCACCGCTGACACACCTCTGTCCCGGGGCAGCTGGCACCCCTCTCCCTGTCCCATTCCCTGTGCGCTGCCAGCAGCCTCCTGAGCGCCGCTGGGATGTGTGGATGGGAGGCACAGGGGTCTGGCAGGGGCAGGTTTCCTGGTGCTGCCCTAGGACACTGCAGTGCCGCCTCACCTCTCGGCCCCTCGGCGCTGCAGAGAAGCCCGGTGCCTGCCCGGCAGCAGCCCCCGAGGGGCTCATTGCCCCCTGCTCCTTCCCCTGCCTGGAGGACAAGGACTGCCTGGGAACGCAGAAGTGCTGCCCGCTGGGCTGCGGCTCTGCCTGCCTGGAGCCGGCGCAGGGTAAGGACCCGGCGGGGCCGGCTGGGTGCCCTGGCTCACCCCAGGGACCCTGTGTGCCATGGTTGTCTCCCGGACGCCCTGGCCCCTGGGGCAGCACACGGTGCTTTCCCTGCCCCGGCAGCTGCCGGCAGCTGCCGGGAAAACCCAACACCGGGACGTGGCCGCAGGCGCCAGGAATGTGCGGGTGATGACAGGAACCCGGGACCCCCGGGGCAGGCAGGGCGGCCAGTGGGGGATGCTGAATCGTCACAGCCCTTCTGCCCTGTCAGACCAGCCCAAGCCCAGCCAGGGCCCCACGGTGCAGCCAGGACCATTCCGGGAGCGGTGCCGAGGTGACAGCGACTGCCCCGACGCGCAGAAATGCTGCAACAGCAGCTGCGGCCACCAGTGCCTGCCGGGAGTGCCGGCCGGTGAGGCAGGACGGGACAGCATGGGACACATGGGACAGCATGGGACAGGATGGGACAGGATGGGACAGGATGGGACAGGATGGGCAGCGAGGGCGGGGACACGGCTCAGAGACCGGGAATGACGCCGTGGGGCAGCAGCCACCATAGCACAGAGCTGTGGCACAAACGGGACCCCTCACCCCATGCTTGCCAGGGTGGGCTCTGCCAGGTTGGGGTGGGGACACACGGCACAGCCCCCAGGTGGGCCCTGGAGTGGGGAGGGAAGGGGACAGTGCAACCAAACTCTGGTGAGGCCACCATCGTTCTCTCATCCTGCTCCACGCTGCAGAGGACACCAGGCCTGCCCCAGTGACCCAAAGGCCACTGCAGCACCAGTGGGGATGCCTCAAGGACGAGGACTGTCCCCCATTCCACGTGTGCTGTCACCAGCTGTGCACCAGGCACTGTGGGGCAAGCAGCCAAGGTGAGGGGGCTGCGAGCCGCCCCAAAGGCTCCACAGCTCCACGTGCCCTGGTCCCCACGGCTGTGTCTCCAAGCAGCCACCCCACTCCATGCCTGCAGGGAAGGATGGATTCTGCCCGGTCCGTGCCGGGCTGTTCCCCACTTACAACTGCAGAGCCTGGTGCCGGCACGATGGCGAGTGCCCCCGAGAGGAGAAGTGCTGCCTCCGTGGCTGCGACTCCGTCTGCTTACCCCCATCCCCAGGTGCCAGATACGGGCAGGGGTGTCCCCCAGCTCCAGGGACTGTGACACTGGGTGGGGAAGACCCGCTGTTGCTGCTTGCACTCCCAGCCCCGCTTCCTCCTGCCCGCAGAGAAACCAGGAATCTGCCCGCTGGCTGAGGAGGCTCCGCTGGCCCCGTGTGGCACCGCCTGCACCAAGGACTGGCAGTGCCCGGGGGCTCAGAAGTGCTGCAGCAGCAGCAGATGTGGCTCCGTGTGCTCAGCCCCCGAACCAGGTGAGGAGACGGTCACTAGAGCAGTGATTCCACCGGGAATGGTGGGATCAAAGCTCCTGGGCACAGGATGTGGGACGGCGCTGCCACAGGGCAGGCACTCAGAGCTCCGGGCCAGGACACCCCGAGGCGACACAAAAGGAGGTGCCTGCAATACAGGGTGGTCCCTCCTCCTGCTGTCTCTTCCTGCCCCTCTCAGAAAAACCCGGTGAGTGCCCAAAGGTGAGGCCGCAACACGCATCGGAGCCGTGCACGGAGATGGACTCCTGCAGCCACGACAGGGACTGCTCCCGGCAGGAGAAGTGCTGCTTCTCCGGCTGCGCCATGCGCTGCACCCGCCCTGCCCAAGGTGAGCGCGGCTGCCCGGCCGCCAGCACAGGGAAGCGATGTGACAGCGGGGCTAGGACCTCTGCCCTCACCCGCATGCCCTCCTCGGGCAGAGCACCCCGGGCAGTGCCCGCGGGCAGGGCCGTGCTGGGAGCTGCGGGGCCGGCGCGGGAGGCAGTGCCTGGATGACAGCGTCTGCCGGCGAGAGGAGAAGTGCTGTGACACCGGCTGCGGCCGGGAGTGCGTGGCCGTGCCCAGAGGTAGAAGGCACAGCTTGTTCGGGGGGAGCTGGCCCCAACCCCCCAAGGGCAGCCAGGTGACAGCACGGTGGTGTCCCTGCAGAGAGCAGGGACAAAGCTGATGGCCGGTGTGTGGAGGAGTGCCAGGCTGATTCTCAGTGTCCCCGGGGGCAGCGGTGCACCAGCATCGGCTGTGGCCACGTCTGCATGGACATCCCTGGAGGTGAGAACCAGCCAGGCCCTCTGGGAGACGTGTGGCTGCCC